TTTCGGGGCGGGGTTGTGGGAGGCTTGCAGGCTCAGCAGAGCCCAGCCCGTGCAACCGTAGCAGAAAGCCCAACCACGTCACCATGTCTAGCGCGTCCCAAAGTGGTGAGGGCACGGCACGGTGGCGGACAGCAGAGAGAGAGAGAGAGAGATCAAAAAGAGAGAGAGAGGGAGAGGAGAGAGTAGAGAGTAGACAGGGCAGTAGAGAGTAGAAAGAGGAGTCTGGATCGTGGGCGTGTATCAGGACGAGCTCAGGTGAGAAAAGGAAGAGCGACGAGCAGGAAACCATTCAGAAAGCAGTGTACAATGGAAGATGGAAACATGGAGAGGCGGCGTGCAGCGGTGGCGATATCAGTGGGCGATGAAAATACGAGAAGATGTCACGAGAGGGTGAGTTACATCAGAAGCCTGCACAGGCATCCACATAGAGAGAGAGCAGGAGTCAGCTGGACGTGCCAGCATTTCTTACAAAGGTGTTGGCCAGGAGTTTAACATCAGAGACTGCGAGTCCACGGCTTATTCTGTGGGCGCCACTCTCGGACCCTCTCGCCACGACGCTGCACAACCGCTGCGCGGCGCACGCACACTGTCCCAGATGCGCGCGTCTGTGCGCCCAGAAATGTCCGAATAGTGCCCGTCGTCGTGGTTGTTGTCGACGTCGACGCCGTCGTCGTTGCCGTCGTCGACGTCGTCGCGCCCGGATCTATCGTGCCCGCCACCCCCTCATGCGCCGCAGCGCGAGGAGAGGGCAAAGCCGGTGGAAGAGCTCACCGTGGAGTTCCCAGTAGGTTGCAAGGTGAAGGCCAGCACGGGAAGGCAATGCCACACGTCAGAGCCCCGAATCATCAGAGCTGGGGGCGGTCAGGGGTGACTACCGATTCGCGCCTCGGGGTTCCAGACTGGAGTTGCCCCGGACCGCAGTCATCCTGGAGAATTCGGGCATCCAGCCCTCCCGAATCATCAGGGCTGGGGGCAGTCAGGGGTAACTACCGATTCGCGCCCCGGGGTTCCAGACCGGAGTTGCCCCAGACCGCAGTCATCCTGGAGGATTCGGGCGTCCAACCCTCCAGAATCATCAGGGCTGGGGGCGGTCAGGGGTACCATTTCATGCAGTCGAATCACACGTATCGCAATGATGAAGGGAAGATGGATGGGGCTGAGGAGGTATACGCAGCCTACGTCATCTGAACGAGTCGTCTTGCCACGTACTTCTTCGGGCAACCTGGTGGCGGCTCAGCCGTCGGTGTTGGGAGCCCAGAGCCGGACAATGATTCAGAGGCGTCCCCAGAACAGTTTCAGCCGCGCTAGCGTGTCCGGTGCTTTTTGGGATAGGACAAGACCCCGAGCTCGATGCTTAGCACCAGGTTCTTCCCTACCGGTCTTGAAGCCACGGTTTCCCCTGGCCAAGCTGGTGCACGCATGCTAAAGGCGTCTAGGGAATATTTAGCATACATGCAAAACTTTCCCTAGCGGCATCAATGGCAAGAGACGCGCTACTTTCTGCCCAGGATTGGTAGGGAGGTCATTCCGGGGAGCCTCCTCACGGTCAAAGCTGCTTTTGGCAACGGACAGGATTCCAAATGACGGAAAAATGCAAAGATGTTGCTGCTCAGCACCAGTCGCGCAGGAGCGCCTCTCAGTTTAACCGCAGCGGCCTCCGGCGTGGCTGGGCTCAGTTCTCCACACCAAAGCAGTTTGACCAACCCTGGAGCGATAGAAGTGGACTCACAGGCGGCAGTTGGTGCCCCGGCCCAGGGATGCTCAGCCTCTTCTGGCTCGGGTGCGCCCGTTCCCCCTGTTGTACCTGGAGCCTGGGCCCAGGGCGGTTTAACCGCCCCCGGGGCACCGTCGGCATCATCCCCACCGTCGGCATCATCCCCAGAAGTTTTTAATTCCGATGCCTTGGATAATGTCAGCTGGGCAAGCTGGCTTGGATACAAACGCCAAACAACAAGGAGAGCGGAGATAAAGTCAAGGGTTAGCCACATTACATCCCCGCCCGGAAAAAGATGACGATTATGAACGGCTTGCGCATCAACGATGGCACAGGATTGCGATGTATAGTGGGGAAACGTACTTGCACCCAGTGGATGCCACGATGTCGATGACTTCAAGGGTTAACACGAACAATTCGACCAGGAGAAAATTACAAGGTTCGGCTTCAAAAAGAGATGGCTGGGAAGCATTACGAAGCCCCTAAGAGCATGTCCCAGCTCGCCAAAGCCGCAAACGCGATGTTTCTCTTGGCCAGTCACATGGTAAGCGAGGACACGAGGGTCCCCCGTGGGGGGCCCAAATCTATGGTTCCTCGATGGGCGTTTTTTTTCCGCGATCCGCCTCGGCAGGACATCGGAGAGACAGGATGCGTCGGTGTTTGACAGGTTTTATTGGGGAAGCTGCAAAGCAGTTCAATGACAAGTACGAATGCACCAATGTTGACGCTTCCCTTCTTTGTCTCTGATAAGAAGAGAGAGAGAGAGAGAGAGAGAGAGAGAGAGAGAGAAAAAACAAAAAAACATTTGAACAGAACAAAGAGAGAGACACATAACAAAGAGAGAGAGAGAGAGAGCAGATTATAGACGAGCGATCGGACAGATGCACCCACGGCTGCTCGCACATAGTCTGCGCTCCATTGTCGAGGGACATATCCTCCTCCATTCTGACCCCCAGTACGGGGGCGACGTTAAGAAACGGGACGTCGGGGCTGGCAGCTTCGAGAGAAATATTGAGGACCCTAGGCAGCACCTCAATTTTTCGATGGCGGAGGAGACTTTCGCGGATGGTCTTGTCCATTCCGCGGAGATCATTTTCACTGGCCCTAAGCCCGCATCGGTCAGGGCGAGCGGTCCCATTCAAAATTGCCACGCACATCCCCGGGATCTCGTCTTGCTTGAAAATCGCGCGCATGCATGGGCACTGGTGGCGCATGACCTGCCGGAAGCTGGCTCAGGCAGCTGTCGTCGCTTTACGAGGCAGGGAGAAAGGATTGAGAGTAATTTCGCGACAGAGTACATTAGGCGGCTGGACATTTGCAGGTTAATTCGCGAGGCAAAGGCCGCGCGGGCCCCCAACCGGGATGTCTTGTCGACCAAGACAGGCTCAACCAGCGTCCGCCGCTCCCTCGCTCGCCAGATCTCGATGCAACTTGGAGTAGGTTGGAGGCCAAAGGAAAAGCTCCAAAGATTTCCATAATCCCGCGCGCGGCTAACTCAAGGGCGCGCCCAATGATCAGAAGAATCGTTGGAAGGCCAGGGGGAAGAGGAAGGATCTGGCAGCTGGTTCAACAGATGGTCAGAGCCAACCTCTGGCCCAGACGGCGTAGATAACACCCAAGAGCCTTGCGGTGCCCAATGTGCCAGCGGCCATCGGTTCAACCGATGGCGCGGAAAGGCCAATCGACCCATAGACTGCCGGCGCAACCAGCGGCCCAGCGTCGCTCACTGCACCGCAGCGGCCCCCCACAAACAGTGCCCCCGAAATCCGGAGGTGGCTAAGGCTTTCCCGCTTCCCTCTTCGCATCCTCCCGATAGCATGGGTGTCTGGCGAGATCCTGAATCTTCCAAGCGACGCATCCAGCTGGAGCCAGACCGGCTCGCCCGCCTGCCCCACCTTTACCGATGTCTCCACTTCAGACGCATCAGCCCACCATTATCCCGAATGCCGGCTTAACCAATGGTGGAGAGATTGGGGCCACGATGGCGCGCGTGGAAATGAACGCCGCGGCGGGCGGGGCTGGGCCGGCAGCGACGCCAGCCCCCGACTTAATCGGACGCGTGGCAAGCACGGCTGAGTCAACGCCTAACACGCGCGCCGCACCGCCAGGATCAGAATTGGCCCCGACGGACGATAAGGAGAAATGGGGCTGCCCGCGGAAATTCGGGACAACGCAGCGCATCTCCCACCAGCCAAGAGAGCTATGGTCAAAACTTTGCGCCAGACTTGGCGAGTCTAATTTGAGGCTCGGATCGCGAGAAATGGTGAAGGGGCCACCAAACCGAATCTGGCGCGTTGGATCATGGACACGACGTGCACCATCTTGACTTCGATATCCTCGCCGGCGTGCTCAACGCCCAGGCCCGGTTGCACCATCGGGGGATTGATGCGGGAAAAGAGCTGGCATTCTACCGCGGATATCTAGATCGGGCACACTCGGACTTTGGACAATCCATTCGTCGGCAGACTCTTACAAGGGTGGACAGGAATTTCGATCCAGATGCAAGGTCAGATGACGGTGCCTGGCCATGGCTGCCTGCGGCTGCTGCCGCCGGCAGTCCGGAGGGCAAGGCCGCCCCGCCTGCCCCCCGATCACCGGTGGCCTATCGCGCGGGGCCCACGCCCGATGACATGCGCGAGGCCTGGAATAGCGCCACCGGTTTAACCGAAGATGGCCCCCCCCCCGGCGGGGCGCAACAGTAACCTGAAATCGCTGGCGGCCCGCGCGCCCGCAGCCCCCCCGCGCCTGAGGCGGCGCCAATGCTTGGAGCCACGCGAGAAGGCGCTGTCGGTTGAGGCGGATTCTGGCGCTCGGGCGTTTATCCTCGGGCGAACCGGCAGACCCGCTAAAGACGACCGAGTGGGCGCGGAAGAGGAGGTAGCACTTGGCGCTCAGGGCCAAGCCTTGGGCGAACCCGCGGCTTCCGAAGGCGGCGACCAGATGGGCGCGGCTGCCGACGGCCAGGAAGAAACCCAGGCCGCGCGACGAAGCACGGGAAGCCCAGTTGCCCTACATCCGCGACCCCCCTGGGGAAGATCATTATCATTTCGAGGACTCCACGCGCCCCCGGGGTTCATGATCGATTATTTCCATCGGAGGGGCGCCCCGGCATTCCCGGAAAGGCCCAATTGCCTCCGGAAGCTCTGCCACTGTCCTATTTCGGCGCTGACATCGCCCACCCCGCGGCAAGGGCTAGAAGGAGGGGTCTTATTTCTGCCGGCCGAAGAGCCAGATCGGACCATTCAAGGACCCCGCCGAACATCAGAAGGGGCGCGGGCGTCGCCCACGCGACGGGTCTGGTTCCGGAGAACATGGCGTGTCTAGGTCAATTTACGTTCAAGATACTTCGTGCCAGCGCCGGGCCCCAGCCACCTTGACCCGATCCTTTCATAGTCGGCAAGCCTTGGAAGCGACGCCCAGTGAAAAGACGAGGCTGCTCAAACGCATGCCGCGCATAATTCCCACGAGGGTTTTAAAGACGCAAGCGGCGCGGCGCTGAAGAAATGGGTCTTGTTCAGCGCGGGGGCGGGCCCAGAGCTCACAGGCGCGGCGCGGGAGACTCGGCTTTCTGGAGGAACCCCAGATGTCGCGCCGACAAGAAGTCGAAATGCATAACCACATACGCCGCACCTCCTTCGGTATTGCTCACATCACGCGCTCAACCCTGGGGGGCGGTGCTCCGTTCTGGAGTGAGTCACACAGATGATGAGCGATGGTTTTGAACAACGGACGGTTGCCCCGGCGACGCATGGATTTACAATGTCGTCTCCAGGCTCTGCCCAGATCTTAGGGCTGGAGGCAAGTAATCATCATGTGCTTCATCAGCTTTCGATCGAGCACTGGCAGCAGTCGGTGGAAGAGGGCTCCCCGCATTCGGCGACGCGGGGAACGCTGGCCCCCGCCTGCGCCGGGGCAGCGCAGGCCCACGCAGTGGCCGCTGCCAACGTCGATGGGACGCATCCCCCACGCGAGCTCAATATCATACCCCACAACCATGGCCCGCCGTTGCACGCCACGTCGATCAGGGCCAGCAGAGAGTTTATGCGGGTGGATATCCCGCATCCAGAGGCACAA